TTTTTAATGGAGCTCTCCTCCCTGTCAGTTTTCAGCACACTGTTCTGGATTGCTGAGTTCAGCTTTCTGAAACAGTGTGTAACAGTGAAGTACACACACCCCCCGCCCCCTAGTAAAACACTCCCCTCACACAGTTAACCCTTTGCTTGCCTCCAAAGGTTAACCCCTTCCTGCCCAGTGCCATTAATACAGTCAGTTTTTTTTTTTTTGCATTGATCACTGTATTGGTGTCACTGGGGATGTCCGTGACCCCAAGTCAAATCCCCCCCAGTGTCAGAATGTCTGCTGCAGTCCCGCCATAAGTCGCTGATCGCTGCCATAAGTCGCTGATTGCCGCTATTAGTATAAAAAAAAATTTAATATCTATACCGCCATTTGTAAACGCTATATCTTTCACGTAAACCAATTAATTTACACGCATTGGGATTTTTTTTTTAGCAAAGACATGGCGCAGAATACATTTTGGCCTTAATTTATGATGAAATTTGATTTTTACATTTTTTTTACTGGACATGTTTTAAAGCAGAAAGTCCAAAATATTGTTTTTCTCAAAATTGTCACTTTTTTTTCTATAGCGCAAAAAATAAAAACGGCACAGGTGATAAATTACCACCGAAAGAAAGCACAGTTCGTGGGGAATAAAGTATGTAAATTTCATTTTGGTGCAGTGTTGCATGACCGAGCAATTGGCAGTTAAAGTAACGCAGCGCCGTAACACAAACCGCTTCTGTAAACTTAATGTAATTACTTGTTTTTTTTTTTTGGGGGGGGGGGGGATAAATAACAAACATAGTATACTTGCCTACTCTATGCAATGGTTTTGCACAGAGCAGCTGCGATCCTCCTCTTGGTTCCCCTGCTCTTGGCTCCTCCCCACTGCCAAGTGCCCCCAAAGCAAGCCTCTTGCTATGGGGGCACTTGTGCATGCTCGCTCTCGAGTCCCACTCTGTGTGTCTGTTGACAGCTCAATACTGCCCTGATGGCTACTGCAGCTGTCTCTGAGCCGATATAGAGGGAGATAGATGCTGCTCTCATGCACATCAGGCTCAGGTAAGTATAAGAGGATGCATGCAGAAGGAATTCTTACCCTAATGCAGTGAATACATTAAGGTAAAGCACCTTTTTGCCTTTATAACCACTTTAACAATAATTTTATTACTTTTGATACCAAAGTGGGGCATGCATTATTTTGTTTTGTTTTGGTAGGACTTATAGGGATTACTTTTGGTAGTATTATTTTCAAAGATTCACATATTTAAATTGAAGTAAAACACAGAAAATGTTAACTTTTTATTACCATTTTAAAATAACAAGTGTTACCTTAGGTATGAAATGCTAATTTTATTCTACAATTTTCCCATTTATTTTGACACTAAAATTAATGTTTTTAGCTCAATGCATTTCCAAACAAAATGAAGACAATTTTGTACAAGCAGTATCAGTTTGCAAACATTTTTTAACAGTTATACTAGGAAAATATAAGAAACAAAATGAAGAAAATGCAAATACAAGTTTGTATGGTAAAAATAAAAAAAATGGCAGAAAAAAAAGTAAGAATGGGGAAGTTGATGAGGGCTATCCATGTTTACATTTTAACTGACATTGATGGGTAACTGCTGCTTTTGCTGGTCATGGCTGAATTGGCTATTAAGGGTAGCTGTGATCTACAGATCATGACCCTGGCTGTCAAACTGATAGCTATCAGCAGCTACTTGAGTGCTGGGAAGGAAGGACTCTATGGTGTATGAAGTACAGCTTAAGTCTTGTTATTGTACATACAGTAACAGTATATCTAGATCATGCAGTACAGGACACAGGCTGGATATTCATAGACCCTACGTAATAGGTTGGTACATTCAGGTGCTTGGATATTTGCATAGCTTTGCTGGACACGTTGGACTTTTATTTCAACAATAGAAGCCATGCATCTGGATTGTTGCAACCTCGGTATAAGCTTGGGAGCTGTACCTGGACCCCCCGTTGTAGGGACAGCCTATAATGTTGCTTCAGACATTGGATCCAGCTTGGGCGCTCAACCCTTGTTTGTAAGTAAGCTGTATAGCTATTCAGGTTCAAGGCTGTGGTCCATTCCTATGGAACCCAAACCCTAAAGACCAGCAGGAGCTATACCCACGTAGGTGAAGCTTGGACTCTGATTAGAGACCAGCAACATGGACAGGTAAGACAGGCTTTCCCTGCACTGAACCGATACGGTAACCTCACTTATTACAGGTTTTCTAAATAGTTTTATTTCATTTGTGTTTGAAATGTATTTACTTGTTCAGTTTTAAATTTGCTGGTAAAATTCCACCATTCAGAGTATAGACAGGTGGATGACTAGGCGTTACATCACACCACCTGTTATACTTTTACCGCAACGTCTCCATAGAGTCCTCTTTAAAGCGGAGTTCCACCCAAAAGGGGAAGTTCTGCTTTAAAGATTGGTCCCTATCTCCCCATTAAGGATTGGTACCTGTGGGGGGGGGGGGGGGGGGGGGAAATGGGTACCCGAATTTGACAAGTACCCACTCCCACTTCCGCTGTGATCAGAAGTGGAAGTTGTCCTCCTACCCTCCCTTTTTGTGGGACACGTGGGGGCCATTTAGGAAGCACAGCGCTACTCGCACATGTGCAATGGGCACCTGCCTGTGAAGCTGCAAGCTATCACAGCCGGGTTCCCACACTGAAGATGACGGCGCCTGGAATACAGGACGGCCGGTGAAACGGGCTGCGGCAGGGGCAACGCGGGATCTTGGGACAGCTGATCACCTTTTGCAGCTATAACAGCTTCAACTCTTCTGGGAAGGCTGTCCACAAGGTTTAGGAGTGTGTCTATGGGAATATTTAACCATTCTTCCAGAAGCGCATGAGTGAGGTCAGGCACTGATGTCGGAGGAGAAGGCCTGGCTCAAGGTCTCCACTCTAATTCATCCCAAAGGTGTTCTATTGGGTTGAGGTCAGGACTCTGTGCAGGCCAGTCAAGTTCCTCCACCCCAAACTCGCTCATCCATGTCTTTATGGACCTTGATTTGTACACTGGTTCACAGTCATGTTGGAACAGGAAGGGGCCATCCCCAAAGTCTTCCCACAAAGTTGGGAGCATGAAATTGTCCAAAATGTCTTGGTATGCTGATGCCTTAAGAGTTCCCTTCACTGGAAATAGGGGCCAAGCCCAACCCCTAAAAACAACCCCACATCATAATCCCCCCCCTCCACCAAACTTGCTAAAGAAGCTGAGGGTAAAGGTGATGGACTGGCCAAGCATGTCTCCAGACCTAAACCCTACTGCGCATCTGTGGGGCATCCTCAAATGGAAGGTGAAGGAGCACAAGGTTTCTAACATCCACCAGCTCCATGATGTCGTCATGGAGGAGTGGAAGAGGACTCCAGTGGCAACCTGTGAAGCTCTAGTGAACTCCATGCCCAAGAGGGTTATGGCAGTGCTGGAAAATAATGGTGGCCACACAAAATATTGACACTTTGGGCCCAATGTGGACATTGGACATCATTGGTGTCACTGACACCAATGATGGGGCACTATTCCTCTCACTGACACCAATGATGGGGCACTATTCCTCTCACTGACACCTATGATGGGCACACCAATGATGGTGCACTATTTCTTCCCTGACATCACTGATGGGGCTCTATTCCTCTCATTGACACCAATGATGGGGCACTATTCCTCCCACTGATACCAATGATGGGGCACTATTCCTTCACTGACATCAATGATGGGGCACTATTTCATTGACACCAATGAAGGAGAACTATTGCTCCTACTGACACCAATGACGGGGCACTATTCCTCCCATACTGACACTAATGATGGGGCACTATTCTTCCACTGACACTAATGATGGGGCACTACTCCTCCCACACTGACACTAATGATGGGGCACTATTCCTCCAAATGACACTGATAATGGAATAAAATAAGAGGTGGGGCTCTAATAGGAAGAGGTGGAGCCTAAAGAGAAAGTGTGGAGTTTACAGATGAAGGGTTGGGTCTTAAACAGGAAGGGGTGGGATGAATTTAGATAGGGGGGGTGCCCGATTTTAGTCTTCCCTAGGGCAGCACAAAACCAAAATACACCACTGACCACATTGAAGGAGCAGTAAGCTGCGTAATATTGCATTTTTGTTCTTGGGTTTAGATACACTTTATGTGCGTTATCACAGAAGTATGGAGGCTGTTCCTCCCAATCTCCTGAAAATGAAAGTTTCCTGGCTGCTTTGGATTCCAGTACTTTGAGCCATGGATCGAAAGCAAGTATACAGCAAATTAATTCCAAGCACCTGATCTGCATACTTCTGTGTCAGTAACTTTGAAATGATTGGCGCAAGAAGATGAGCATAACAGCCAGGCAACTAGCATTTTCAGACAGAATTTAGAAAGTGTAGACTGATTCTTGTGTAAATGCAATCACAACTCTGTGCCAAATAAAATTCAAGAAATTCCTTCAATATCCAGCAGATGGCAGTATATGCATAGAAATCCATAGGCTGTTTTAGCTAAAAGCTGATTAACCCCTTGCCCTCCAGAGGATTCCCTCCCCCCCTTCCTGACCAGACCATTTTTTGTAATACGGCGCTGCGTTACTTTAACTGACAATTGGGAAGTCATGCAACGCTGCACCCAAATGAAATTTATATCCTTTTTTTTCCCCACAAATAGAGCATTTTTCAGTGGTATTTGATCACCTGTGCATTTTTATTTTTTGCGTTCCAAACAAAAAGACAGAATTTTGCCAAAAAAAAACCTTTATTTTTTTACTTTTTCCCATAAAACATATCCAATAAAAAATTGTAAAAAAATCAAATCTCTTCATAAATTTAGGCCAAAATGCATTCTGCGACATGTCTCTGCTAGAAAAAAAATCCCAATACGTGTAAATTAATTGGTTTACATGAAAGTTATAGTGTCTACAAACGGCGGTATAGATACTAGAATTTTTTATAAAAAATGTTTTATACTAGTAATAGCAGCGATCAGCGACTTTTAACGGGACTGTGGCAGGCATTCTGACACTGGGGGGAACTGACTAACTGCCACTGACATCCCCAGTGACACCAATACAGTGATCAATACTAATAAAAAGCACTGACACTGTACTAATGGCACTGGGCAGGAAGGAGTTAAGATCTGGAGCGATCAAAGGGTTAACTGTGTGCTGTTTAACATGATGTGCTGTGTGTGTTTTACTAGGGAGACATGCTGCTGTGTATTTCTGTGCTGTGCTGTGCAGCGCAATACAAAACAGCCTGTTACTGCTGGCAGGAGAGAGACCTGTGTTGTTTACACACAGGTCTCTCCCCTGTCAGTGATACTCAGCAATCGCCGAGTGCCGGGTAGGGTGCGCACGCACGCGCCCTACCCGGAAATGCAAAATCACATATATATGTGTGTGATTTTGTGCAGCCCTACCACCCCGTAGCAGTAGATCTGCTATAGGGTGGTTGGGAAGCGGTTAAACAAGATAGTTTCTGAAATTAAGGCTGAAGTTTATTTTTCTGCAAATATAATATTTTATAAATGTTTAAACAGAATTATAGGGGTGGTAACAAAATCTATAAAAAAAAGGCAAGTTACACTTCATTAACTTTGTTTGTCGGATACACAACTGACATACTCCATTGCCTGTTACGTTACTTTTAGACCCCAGATGTCTCATTAAAAAGAACTTGCCACCAAAAAATCATCACATACATCAGGACTTTTTGACCTTTATGTGATGAAACAAAGTTTATTTTAAAAAAAAAATAAATAAAATTTTGTTAAAAAATGTAAGTTACAGTTAATCAGGTAACCCCCCCCCCCCCCACCCCCCCAAAAAATATTTTTTTTTTAGAGGGCCCTCCCGCAGCATGTGGAACGTTAATGCGCTTGTCAGGGACACCTATACACAGCAACATGGACTGTTTACATGTTACATATCCCGGCACACAGCAGAGTGAGAGCAATAATTCTTGGACCAGATCTAACTGTAAATTGATGACCTGTAGGTGTTTTTAAAGCATACAACCACAGTGACCATACATGGATCGAATATCGTCAGGTTCCTGCTGAATCATCTGACTTTCAATCCATGTATGGCCGGCTTATGTTGCCAGCAAATTCTATGGCTGACCTCTCCATTCAGCAATGATCACATCTAGCCCCGTCCAGTTTCCTGGGGGCATGTTGGCTCAGTGTCCTGGGAGCATGTTGGCTCAGTGTCCTGGGGGGCATGTTGGCTCACTGTCAGGAATGGACTCACCACTGGTGGTTGGACTCACCTGCCGTGTGGGCTGCAGTACCAGGGCTGGCCAGCGGGTGCTCTCAGCAGCCAGAAGCTCACTCCTGCAATCAAGTCATCACTTAAGGCTGATTGCAGGACGTGTATTTAAGGAGTAAATAATGAATATAGCGAGCGCTCAGAAAAACCAGCTGCTAGAACACTTCAAGGGATCACTAAACCTCATAGTAGAGACATTATACATATATATAGTGCAGCGCTGAAAATGTAATAAAATAAGATATATAAAATATATAAAAGTCTTTCTCATGACAATAAAGTCAAATATGTGCAGGTCTTCTCCTCATTAGGTGACTGGGAAAATAACAAGATTGCGCACTCACCGACCGCACATTTAAATGCGCCTGTGTATGATATATTCCAAAAGACCAGCCAGGTATACAGCTCCAGAGACCACACGAATCCTCCCTCTTCCACACTCTCATCCGCCTTGGGTGTAGCAATATCTCCAGATCCAAAGGTAGAAAGACAGAGATCCCCCTTTTTTGGTTCCAGACACCCCACGAATGGAAGATGTATATCTGCACTCTCCAGCGATGCTGCCTTTGATGAGCACAGACAAACACACATGTGAAGGAATCAAAAGCAGCAAGGAGAAAAGGAAACAGGTGCATCCTGGGAGCTCAGGCTCCATTTGAAGAACTGAGGGAAAAGAACCAGCCATAATTCTCTGCAGCACATGTTGTGGACTGAACTTACATCCCCAAAGGCAGCATCGCTGGAGAGTGCAGATATACATCTTCCATTCTTGGGGTGTCTGGAACCAAAAAAGGGGGATCTCTGTCTTTCTACCTTTGGATCTGGAGATATTGCTACACCCAAGGCGGATGAGATGTGGAAGAGGGAGGATTCGTGTGGTCTCTGGAGCTGTATACCTGGCTGGTCTTTTGGAATATATCATACACAGGCGCATTTTAAATGTGCGGTCGGTGAGTGCGCAATCTTGTTATTTTCCAGTCACCTAATGAGGAGAAGACCTGCACATATTTGACTTTATTGTCATGAGAAAGACTTTTATATATTTTATATATCTTATTTTATTACATTTTCAGCGCTGCACTATATATATGTGTATTTAAGGAGTAGCCAGGCCTGCAGTCAGGGCCTTGGTGTAGAGTTTCCCTTGGCCCCTGTATCCTGATCCTGCCTGCTTGAATCCTGACTCTGCACGAACTCTGCCTGTACCGACCTCGGTTATTCCTGACTACTCTTCCGCCTGCTCCTTGTACCTTGCCTGCCCGTTTGCTACCGACCCGGCCTGCCCGACTACGTTTAGTATTGTTCTTATTGTTATCTGTTGGAGGTTTGGTTTGTTTGCACTGTGTTTATGTTTAGTCTTGCACTGCATTTATGTACTGTTTAGTCTTTAATAAATTGTATTGTATATACTATACCTGAAGCCTGCGTTTCCCTGTGTCAGTCCACACATCTCTGGTCATACCTGGAGCCCTGACACTGTGTCCCGGGGGCATGTTGGCTCAGTGTCCCGGGGGCATGTTGGCTCAGTGTCCCGGGGGCATGTTGGCTCAGTGTCCCGGGGGCATGTTGGCTCAGTGTCCCGGGGGCACGTTGGCTCTGTGTCCCTGCAACTTTAACAGTGCTGACTAAAGAATGGTGAACCACTGAATAAAAAATAAAAATGCTTTCGTTTGTTGAATTGTTGCGGCATCCTCATCTGATACAGGAGACTGCCTGCCAACACACTTATAATTATGTTCTGTTAATACTTGCCTCTTATTAGCATACAATAGAATACAGCCTTTCATGTCACACCCATCTCTATTTCTTTAACGGATTCACATCTACACAAATGGCTAAAATGTTCTAAATGATCTGCCATTAAAATGTAATACTGAGTGGAATCCTGTCTAGAAAAGTAAACAAAAATGTTTTATCGTTAAAGTGTTACTTAAGGCAAACGGCTAAATCCACAGTTGAGCTTCATATACTGTATGTGATTTGTTCTACTGGCCAAGGGATTTGCAGTTCTGTTCAGACAACCTTGTGATTTGCACACCTGTAGCACAATGCATAGTATAGAAGATATGTAATCTTACCACCTCCTGTTCTATTGCTCACTGGATTCCTTCCCTGACAGTAAGATCTAAGTGATGATTTAGATGCATTGTCCACCATGTAAGATGGAGGTGAAGAAATGATATAGGAAACTCAATTAGGAACCTGTAACAGTCTGGGCAGCACAGTGGTTAAATGGTTAGCACTTCCGCCTGGCAGTACTAGGGTCCTTGGTTTGAATCTCAACCACAGCATCACCTGCCTGGAGTTTGCATGTTCTCCTTGTGCCTGCATTGGTTTCCTTTGGGTACTCTGGTTTCCTCTCCCACACTCCAAACACATGCTGGTAGGTTAATTGAATCCTGACTAAATTGGCCCTAATATGTGTATGTATGAATGTAAGTTAGGGACCTTAGATTGTCCCTAACCCTCAAGGGTGTAGGGAATCTATGTGAATGTACAATATATATGTAAAGCGCTGTGTACATTGACAGTGCTATATAAGTACCTGAAATAAATAAATATTATATATATGTACACTATATTGCCAAAAGTATTAGGAATTCTGTCTTTACACGCACATGAAAATTAATGGCATCCCAGTCTTAGTCCGTAGGGTCCAATATTGAGTTGGCCCCGCCCTTTGCAGCTATAACAGCTTCAGCTCTTCTGGGAAGGCTGTCCACAAGGTTTAGGAGGGTGTCTATGGGAAGGTTTGACTATTCTTCCAGAAGTGCATTTGTGAGGTCAGGTACTGATGTCAGATGAAAGGCCTGGCTCGCAGTCTCCACTCTAATTCATCCCAAAGGTGTTCTATCGGGTTGAGGTCAGGACTCTGTGCAGGCCAGTCAAGTTCCTCCACCCCAAACTGGCTCCTCCATGTCTTTATGGACCTTGCTTTGTACACTGGTGCGCAGTCATGTTGGAACAGGAAGGGGCCATCCCCAAACTGTTCTCACAAAGTTGAGAGCATGAAATTGTCCAAAATGTCCTGGTATGCTGACGCCTTAAGAGTTCCCTTCACTGGAACTAGGGGGCCAAGCCCAACCTCTGAAAAACAACCTCACACCATAATCTACCCTCCACCAAACTTTACACGTGGCACAATGCAGTCAGGCAAGTACCACACCTTCTCTCCAGTACATGGATCATACTCACGACTGGATTATATAATGATTGAGCATAGACAACTGGAGCCGTTAGTCAGTTCCAACATAGAGGTTACGTCTAATTCTGATTATGCTCCTGTCACAATGAAACTACAGGCAGGAGGGGAATGGCAATTGCCAAACCCAGACACATCCATCGGATTGCCAGACAGAGAAGCGTGATTGGTCACTCCAGAGAACACGTCTCCACTGCTCTAGAGTCCAGTGACAGCGTGCTTTACACCACTGCATCCGACGCTTTGCATTGCACTTGGTGATGTAAGGCTTGGATGCAGCTGCTCGGCCATGGAAACTTATTCAATGAAGCTCTCTACACACTGTTGTTATGCTAATCTGAATGCCAAATGAAGTTTGGAGGTGTTTAGCTATTGACTCTGCAGACAGATGGCGACTTCCGCAAACTGTACCTGCAGCATTCGCTGACCCCACTCTGTCATTTTACATGGCCTACCACTTCATGGCTGAGCATGCAACGTGCGGCTGTATGCTGGGCGTGCGGCTGTGTGCTGGGCGCGCGGCTGTGTGCTGAACGTGCGGCGCGCGCGGCTGTGTGCTGCGCGCGGCTGAACTGAGCGCGCGGCTGTGTGCTGAACGTGCGGCTGTGTGCTGATTAGACAGTATATGCACTTATGTTTAATGTTTTACATAGCTATACCCAGGGATTTTTTTTCTCAGATAATGGGTGCAGGAACCAAGCCACTCCTTGTCACCGCCCTCTACCCACCTCCAAGTACTGTCCCTTAGATCCATCCCCTACCCACCTTTCAGTACCGCCCCTTTTAGAAAATACAAAACAAAGTATCATTTGGTGGCGTTAAGTAATTTGTTTGGAATTTTTACTGATAACAAAAAGCAGTACAATAGATCCCCTGCAGCCAGCAACAATACACCCCCAAACAAAAACAAATA